TGCACAGATATGGGTAGTTGATTGATAGTTGTCAGGAGCTGGAGCTGGAGCAAAAGGGATTGGAGATTTATAAAGGGAAAAGAATGATAACACATTCTTAAATTCAGTAGAAATGCTTAAATCTGTGACTATACTAAACATGACTGAACTCTACCGTTTAAATTGAGGAATTATATAGTATATGAAGTATATCTCATAAAAACTTTAAAAAAAATCATTATTTGGTATGAATACAATGCTTGCCAATTACAGACCTGGACATGATGGGGCCAGATCATGATAAGGCTCAGGTCACTTTTCTAATTGTTCTAGATCAATGCAAGATAAATATTCAGATAATGTTGAAAACCCCCAATAACTTTTATTTTACTAGGGCCATATTTGACTAGCAGAGCTGGTGCTAAAGTCACAAATAAACAAATAATGTGAATCAACCCAACTTGAGTGTTTTATTCATTCCACAGTCCTCAGCTCTCTTTTGAATTTAATTAATACTTCTCAATACCTACAAATAATCTAAACTCTCCCAATTTCATGGTTTTAAATAGTTGACTGCTGAATCTTTGCCCTGGGCAGGAAAATAATATTTTCAAGCAGAAAATATATGACTTGTTTGCTTCTGCCAATACTACCACGCAAAATATACTAATATCGATTTTACAGAATGAAGGCAGAAAAGCGGACATCCACCAGAGTCCAGACGTCATAAAATGGAAGAAGGCTTCTCAGAGAAGACTTCCAAATAACAAATGTATAATCAAATGCATAAAAAAATAGTTTGGGCATGGAATTGTAGGTCCACTAACTAATTCATCTTAACCAACTTATTTACCTTCTTTGAACTTCAAGTTAAAAAATTAATTTGAAATAATAATGTATACTTATCTGAGGCAGTGAGAATTAAATTAAATCCTATAAAAACACCATCTCATGATGAAGAAAATCAATTCACAATATGGTAGGATATTTTTGGCAAATGGTAGCAGTTAATTTGCTGGTTTTGGTAAATTCATGAAAAAAGCCTGGGAAACCAACTAAATTGAAACTAGACTAAAGTAGGCCTTAAAGTTTTAATTCAGCCCAGAATAGAGGGACAAATGGTGAACAAATGCAATAATAGTGCTCACTAGACACTATGTTGAAAATGAACTATACAACTTGTGAGTGGTGACAGGAGGGAAAAACTATGAGTGAGGGATGGGGTGACATTGTCTAAAAAGAAATGTACTCATTACCTGGCTTATGAAACTATAACTCCTTTGTACATCACCTTGATAATAACAATAAAAAGTAAAATAAAATGAGTTTAGAATTTGGGGGAAAATTGAGTGATTAAATTCAAAGTTTATGTATAGGGAAAGGAAAGTAAAAAAAGGAAGAATGAGAGGAGGAAAAAGGAAGATGGAGAGAAAAAGAGATGGAGGGAGGAATGGAGGAGAGAAGGAGAAGGGATGGAGGGGGAGAGAAAGACAGAATGAATGTTTTTTAAAGTGTCAGAAGGTAATGGGACAAAATCTAAATGGAGTCTGTAACCTGAAGACATTGAAGCTATTTTTTCCTCTAAGGATATTTGTTAAATGAATCTGTCTTGAATTTCCTCTTTGGTGTGTATGTGATTTTTCCAGACATGGAGGCAAAAAAAAAGTCTAAGGCTCTATCAAAATAACCTAATTGGAAAACCCTATATCCATAATCTAGTATTTGAAAGGACTATACCTTTAATGTAAAAGTGGGTCAGAAATAAACATTTGAGGCAGACACCAGTGGCTCATGCCTGTAATTCTAGCTACTAAGGAGGCTGAGATCTGAGGATCGCTGTTAAAAGCCAGCCCAGGCAGGAAAGTCTGTGAAACACTTCTCTCCAATAAATCAGCAGAAAACCAGAAGTGGAACTGTGGCTTAAGTGGTCGATTGCTAGCCTTGAGCGGAAGAGCTAAAAGACAGCGCCCAGGCCCAGCGTTCAAGTCCCATGACTGAAAAAAAGTAAACATCTAAATAAGGAAAATAATTATTGCTTTGTTGTGTATCACAGCTAGCTGGAGGAGGAGGAAGATGACCATTTCTGGGAGTTGTATTATACCTTAACTAGTGTTTGAACTAGTTTGGGTGATTGCCCAAAGTTTATATTACTACATGAACCAGGAAAATAGTACCCCCAGGCATCTGAAAGACTCCTCTCAGGAAAAATATAATTTTAAATATAGCAAAAGATCGTTTTCCAGCCGTGTAGAATCCTATCCAAGTGGATGGGATCTGAAGATAGCCATTCAAAGCCAGTGCAGGAAGTGGCGTTGTGGCTCAAGTGGCAGAGTGCTAATTTTGAGCTACAATCTCAGGGATGGCTCCCAGGGTTCAAGCTTCAGGACCGGCACCAATGAAATCATTTCCCAACATTTATGAGCAGCTCAGGGACAATATATTATGTTGTGGATGAGAAAGAACATACAACATGAATAGACCAACAAAACCTAAAGTTTTGAGGTTATCAGATTATATATAATCCTATTTAATATACTTAAAGAAATAAAAAAAATCCCTCCCCCACGGTATAACCCTTGCTTTCACTGTATTTGATGTCGGTATATTTGTGGAGGGGAAGGGAAAAAAAAATCTTTTTTTTGTCGGTTGTGGGCCTGAATTCTGGGCCTGGGCACTGTCCCTCAGCTCTTCAGCTCAAGGTAAGCCCTCTACCACTTGAGCCACAGCACCACTTCTGGCTTTTTCTGCTTATGTGGTGCTGAGGAATTGAACCCAGAGCCTCATACATGCAAAGCAAGCAGTCTAGCCCTGAGCCACCTTTCCAGTCCCAGATTTCACATTCTTAAGTAGCTAGGATTACAGGCATGACCCCCTGGCATCCAGCTTGGTAAAGGAGGAGGCTAGAATGCTTGATAAGAAATGTACTCATTATCTGGCCTATGTAATTGTAACTCCTCTTTACAGTATTTTCACAATAAAAGAATAAAATAAATAAATATGAGTGTGCTTTAAAAAAGAAAGAAAAAAACTTTACTTTCTGTACAACAAAAAAAGCTTTGTAAATAAAATCTTAACATTTTGGGTCTGTTTTTTTTTCCATGCTTTTTTTTAAAAATTTTTTTAACATGAGGACATTTTATGTGATAATTGCCAGAAAAGTATTTTTACGACTTACGTGAAATAAACATGTTACTCTTTGGTAAAAAAAAAAACACAACATGTTGAGGAATGAAACTATATCTAGTTTTAGAGACTAGTCTAATTAGGCAAGTTACTCATAATTAGTCACTTGAAATTTCTTTGAAAGTCATTCACGTTTTATTCATGTTTTTATTGTCTGCTATTCGTGGTACAATGTGAGCTCCACGAATGTATAGATCATGCCTATTTGGTCTACCACAGTATAATATTTCTCGAATCCTGCACAATGCCTAACATATAGTAAATATTAGTTGAATGAATAAAAGGGTAATGCAGAGAGGAAAACCAAAATTAAACATCCAAAGATACATTTACAGGTGCACGAGAAAATGTACGTTAAAAGTATAGTAGAAATGAGTTTACATTTGGGGTAAGAGTTTGAGAAGTGTCTAACACACTTGGATAAAATTCTACATATGCAACGCGGCTCTGAAAACGCGGATGTTAGAGATGAGAGAAACAGCTGAGATCTCACGAGAGTTGGAAGCTCATCGGAAGTGACGTCAGTGTTTCCTTAGTATTTAAGAGGGCCCCCCCCCCTCTTAAACGGTTAAAAGCAAACCGTTGGTGAAGAGGCAGTTAGGTTAGAGGTAGAGATTAGCCGGAGCAGAAGCATGAATAGAAGAGGAAAAATGTCAAGAGATGACTGGGCGGGGGAAAGAGGAGAGAAGTATAGCAGGTTCCGGAAGGAAAGAGAAGCCAAATACGAGTGGTATGTTTATAGGAACTTCGAATTTAAGGACCAGAAGTTGTTAGCTTTGGGATAAGCGATATTTGAGGGATAGCCCATACCGAGGGGAGTGAGGCCGATTTTAATTATTAATTTAATTGGCTTTGAGTTTCTGTGATTCAGGGGGCTAATCACTGTGGTATATGGTAGCTAGAAAGTAATATTTCTCATAACAATTGAATAGAAATCGAAAAACTACGTCACAAAAGGAAAAGAAACTCAACTGTTTTAACTAAAGTAACTATCCTTAAGTTGCTTTACAAAATGAGTGAGGCAAAAAGGTTGCGTAAGTGGGCGGGTATTCAAGTTACCTCAGAATGGAGGGACTGGTTGAGGGATTTTTTTTATTGTTGTTGAAAAAGCTAAAAATCAAATTCTGAATAATTCTAGACGTTCCGATCATATGCTAGGAATTTGAATAGCTATTCCTTGAGGAGACTGTGTAACTGTACAGGGTTTCAGTGCCACAGCCGAGCCTGATAGTTTTGTCAAGCTTTACTGGCTTCCCTCAAACTCTAGGTCCGCCTCCCTTTCTGTAGTGACTTAAGGAGATTGTCCTCAGTAGCCGTTAACCCATTTACTCCCCGCCCCCTCCTTGGAGCTAAAAAGTCTCCTCCCAAGAACGCTTTCGTTTTAGGGCGGGGCGGGGACTCAGAGCCGGCCTAGTCAGCCCTTGCTCCGGCCGTCTTGGAGCGCGGGGTGGAGTGGGGCGGGCGTTTAAGTTTTGGCTCTCACGCTGAAACGAGGGGCGGTGACGAGGGGCGAGGGACAGGCTTTTCAGCTTTGGCTCTGAGGCCCGAGGCCAGGGTCGGGGACCCGGGCGTTTTAGCTAGGGCTTGCGGGCGAAACACGAAGCCTAGCAGGATGTGAGGCGGGGCGACGGGCCTTTCAGTTTTGGCACGTGGCTGTTGCAAAGAACAGAGCATTTCAGCTTAAGCTCTTGGACCGAAACAAGGGGCGGGGCTGTGAGCCGAGCATTTCAGGTTCAGGACCGGGGGGCGGGGAAGGGGCGGGTATTCGGTCATTTTGCTGCGGCTGTGGAGACGAGGCGTTAACGGGGGCGGAAAGGGAAGTTGGGCGTTAATAGTTTCGGCTGCGAAGCAGAAGCAAGAGGTGGGGAGCAAGGAGGGGGGCGGGGTAGGGGTGGTAGGGCCTTCCAGCTTCAGCTCGGGAGTCTAGGCGTGAAGCGGGATGGGGCGGAACTAGGTGGGGGCGAAGATGCGAGCGTTTCAGGCTTCGGGGCCGATGGGCGGGGCAGGGGCGGAGACTCGGTTTTACTTTGGCTCTGAGGCGGAGGCGAGCGGGGCGGACAGGGGCGGCAACAGGGGCGGGGCGGGGAGCAGGACACGGGGCGGGGCGGGGCGGGGCGGGAAGCTGGGCGTTTCAATTTAAGCTCGCAGGACCAGGCGAGAAGAGGGGCAAGGCGGAGGCGGAGGCGGGGCGAAAGCGAAGCGGGGGCGTCGGGTTGTGCCGAGCATTTCAGCTTTGGCTCAGTGGCGTGGAGCGGGGTGGGGCTGGGCTTTCACTTGAGTAGGGTGGGGCGTGCAGCCGAGCTTTTCAGTTTCGGCGCGGGGTGGAACGGATGTGGCAAGGGCGGGATGTTTCACCTGACGGGGAGGGGGAGCGGAGAACGGGGCATTTCAACTTCAGCACGCGGGCTGCGGCACTTGACCTGAAGAGGATGGGGCAGAGAGACGGGGGTCGAGGCGAAGAGCGGAGCGAGGCGAGGCTGGGGGAGTTGGCGGCTATGGTGTGGGGTAGCGGGGAGGTGTGCGTTTCACATGGAGTGGGAGTGGGAGTGGGGAAAACGGTAGCCGGGACTTTAAGCTTCGGCTCCGAGGCTGAAGCGTGGAGCGACAGGGGCGGGGATGGGGCGGATAGTTGGGCTATTTAGCTTGGGCATTGGAGGGCGTGGCATTTCAGCTTCAGGAGACTACCGGACTGGAGTGGGAACGGAGGGGGGACTGGGCGAGGAGGAAAGTTGGCAGAATTTATCTTTGTAGTGTCCGTTTCCCAAAACAATCATTATGTTAAACCACGTAAAAATCACAAATATGACATCGGCGGGAACTGAAGGGAAATGGCATTTCCGGCTGGGACCTTAGAGTGTTTTAACCTCTCTCGGAGGTACTTCCGGAAGGGAATGGGCGGGGCAAGTATTACGTGCGTTTGGCGGGTTTCGCTTTCTTGGTGAATATCTTGTCATCCCTCAGCCCAAGGAACGGATCAAATAGGAGAGAAGGGAGACACCCCCGGTTGAAAACGTGTGATTGTGGACCGCCGTCAGGCATGTCTGTGGTAAGTGTTTGGGTGGCGCACTGTTGGGCGCCTGGACGTTAAAGGTTGGGAACCCTGGAGGCGCGGCGAGCTGGTCTTGTTGTTAGTCACGTGGAAAAGCGGCGAATCACTGTCTGGCCCGCCGGCCTGCGAAGCCGGCTCCATTTTGCTACCCGCCCACCAGCTACTGTTGTCCAGCTCTCCCTGAGGCTCGAGATCGTGAGTAGCGGGGATGAGGTCAGGGGTCGGGTTGGGCTTCTGCATTTTATGGCTTATAAGGCCCACTTTTCTCATGCTCTAAAGTCACTTTCGAAAACCTCAAAAACAAATGAAAAGTGGCCATTCTTTGTTTTCAATTCCTCTAATATCTTCGGCTCTCTAAAGGGCTTAGGAGGAGCCAAATTAATTCCGTATAGTCTGCCCGAATTTTAACAGCATGGGTTTACCGTTTACTGGTCCGTTTACTAACCCCGGTGAATTTCAGTTTGTGGAATATAAGAAAGTTTCCTAAAGTGAAGCTGTGTAGACTTGCAAGGAGCCCGTTGAAATTCCCTGTTAACTTGGTGGTTTATATTTTCTTTCAAACTTTTGATCTAATTCATAAGCTCTCAACCAAAATGAGCACCCAGCACTTTACTGCCTTTATCCACTAGAGATTCCACTCCAGCCCCACCTCCTAAGTTACAAGCCCCGTGATTTTGAGTTGATTATTTTGTAAAATTTTGAAAAATCTCTTAGTGGCTAAAGATGAAGATAATAAAGTGACATGTGAAAAAATTTAAAAGGTCAGGAACTGGACATCTAGCATTGAGTCTCTGAGTAAAAGCCCCAGACTGGCACAGAAAAATAAATTCTTGCATGAAAGATAAATAACTTCCTAATACATGCACCTAGAAATAGTAAAAATTTTAAAACTTGGAAACTTTGGAGCCCTGACTTTAACATGTCCAAACATATGGAAGAATGTGTACTATATATAGGGCCATATAGTGATACAAATAAATTGTTTCTGTTTTATCACTGGAATGGTAATATACAATTCTGAAATTTTTCTTGTAGGATTTTAAAACTTATGCAGATCAAGCATGTAGAGCTGCTGAGGAATTTGTGAGTATTTACTATAATACAATGGACAAAAGAAGAAGGGTGAGTTAATGTGATCTCTACTATTTCTCAAGTACAGTTTTTTATTGAGACATTTACCTTACTTGTATAAATGATAGCTATGGTCTTTTTTTAATTTTTTTTTTTTTTGCCAATCCTGGGGCTCAAACTCAAGGCCGCTCGGTCTTATTCTGCAAAAGAAAATTTCTATCTGGCACAGTGGCTTCTGCCTGTAATCCTAGCTAATAGTAAGGATCAGGGATTGAGTGCAGCCTGGACAAGAAGTTTGGGAGACCCATCTCTGCCAATAGAAAGCTAGGCTTGCTGGTATGTTCCTATCATTAAATCTGTGCCAGCAGGAAAAAATTGCATTATACTTTAGATCTCCCTTTGATATATTACTCAACATCTTGTTTATATAATGAAGCAAAAAGAGCTTGGGAGTAGAAGTGCCTACATAGGAAACACAAGGCTCTTGAATTCAATCCCCAATACCACCAAAAAGAAGGAAAAAACGGCTTGTTTATGGGGGATTAATAGGGTATTAAGTGGGAGTTTGGTCTCTGAAATTATCTTGTAGATGATTGCACTTAGTTGCATGGACTTAGGCAAATTGATAACTTCTTTTAAACTCTTTATTTTGCCAGTCCTGGGGCTTGAACTCGGCCTGGGTGCTATCTCTGAGCTACTTTTGCTCAAGGTTGGCACTCTAGCTCTTGAGCCACAGCTCCAATTCCAGCTTTTTAAGAGGTAGCTTATTGGAGCTAAGAGTCTCATGTACTTTTCTGCCTCTGTTGGCTTTGAACCATGATCCTTAGATATCAGCGCCTAGAGTGGCTATGATTATAGCCACTGGGGCTTGAACTCAAGGCTTGAGTACTATCTCTGAGCTTTTTTGCTCAAGTCTACTGTTTTACCACTTGAACTACAGCTCTACTGGGGTTTTTTGGTGGTTATTTGGAGATAAGAGTCACACAGACTTTGCTACTCTGTCTGGCTTCAAACTGTGATCCTCAGAGCTTAGCCTACTGAGTAGCTAGGATTACAGGTATGAGCCAACAATGCTTAGCTTGTTTTACTGATTTTTTGTGCTACTCCTGGGGCTTGAACTCAAGGCCTGGGTGATTTCATGGAGCTATTTTGCCCAAGGTGAGTGCTCCACCACTTGAGCTACAGCTCCACTTCTGGCTTCTTGGTGGTTAATCAGAGATGAGACTTACAGACTTTCCTGCCTAGGATGGCTTCAAATCACAATCCTTAGATCTCAGCTTCCTGGGTAGCTAGGATGATAGGCATGAGCCACCAGTGCCCAGGTGTTTTATTAACTTAAAAGAACTTCTTTCTATACTGCAGGTACAAAAGTTAATACCTTATCTAAAAATCTGTTTGGTGTTTGTATGCTGGGGCATGAACTCAGGGCCTGGCTCTGTCCCTTACCTTTTTCACTTAAGGCTAGTTTTTACCACAGTTTGAGCCACAGTTCCACTTGCAGCTTTTTGGTGGGTAATTGGAGATAAGAGTCTCTCAGACTTTCCTGTCTTTCCTTAATCCTCAGATCTCAGCCTCCAGAGTAGCTTAGATTAGAGGCATGAGCCAGCAGCACCTATCTAGTAGCTAAAATATTCTTTGTTATTTTTTAAAGCATCAGTTAAAATGCAACCAATATTTGATTATGTAAGACATAGAGAAAGAAGCTGACAATGTACTATTATTGTATCTTGTCTTGAATGTTACTATACTTGATTGCTTGCAAAAGTGAAGTAGCCAGCTGAATATTTCTGGGTACACCTGTACTGTTAGCTAATCTTAGTCTTAGCTTAGTCTTAGTCTTTGCAGGTTGAGAATAGAAATACCAAGATGTGAGGCAAGACCAGGCAGACTATTTCCTAAGACCCTTTTTTGTCCTTAATTTAATTTTTAAATTTTTTATTGTTATTATAAAAGGCGATGTACAGAGCTAAGACTCTTTCTTCACCCATAGCTTGGTGCCCTGGTACACTCCTGTCTGAGATTGGGAGGATCACAGTTCCAAGCCAGCATATGCAGAAAATCTTCAAGACTCTCTCCATAGAGGGAACGCAGACTGTGTGTGTTGTCTATGACCCTCCCTCCCCCCACAATGGAAGCCTATAAACAAATGAGTTGCTGCTCAGGTGCAAGTCTGGAGAAAATAGCAAGACCTTTTCTGAGAAATAAGAGAAAAACAGGCTAGGAGTATGGCATCATCCTAGCAAGCATGAGGTCTTGAGTTCAAACAGTTCTACAAATAATTAAGTAAATAAATAAAGCACTAGTATATAAAACAACAGCACATTTTATTAGCAATATCAAGATATATTTTGGCTTTTTTTTTAAATTTTATTTTATTTTATTTGTGAACATACTGTACAGAGGGGTTACAATTGCATGGGCAGGATAATGCGTACATTTCTTACCAAGCATTGCAGCCTCCTC